GCACGGGCTTGTTTTTGTTTTTCTGCATCTGAGGATTCCAAGCAATGCCGGGCTCGGCTCGAGGGTTTCATTAGCGTTAGCAGGAGCACCTGCTGGTATCAGTTAACTCTAACAAATACAACAGTCACATGATAACTCATGGTTGATAGATCTAAAAAAAAATCAACACTAAAACTGCAACTTGTTTTGAGAAAAAATGAGAAAATAACTGCTTACAACAGAGTGGATACCTGCGGATACTGACGGAGAGTCCCTGTCAGCTGTGCGGGTGGTGAGCTGTACAGTGTGTATCTTTGAAATCAAGGTCCTGTGGCAGACCTCGCCTTGGGAATAAACACTGCAGAATGGTCACAGGAAAGTGTCAAACCTGTGGTTTTTATTTACCAACAGTTATGATATTTTTCTCGGGAGGTACAAAAAATATGCTTCATCTTTAGACCTGTGAGCCCCCAAACCTTCCCTCAACCCCTCTCTCTGTTAGCAGTGGCTTTTGATTGTCAGATGGGATTTTTATCCTGAATAACTGATCCTGGCCTCTCTGAACATTACATCGTAGCAGCCTGAGCAACAGAAATCAGAAAATAGTTACAAACCACAGTCACTTTCCCTTCTCACACTGAACTCTCAACACCAGGTGGAGCGCGGGCCGGGGCAGTGTGACTGTGTTGGTGGTGAAGGAAGGAAGGGGGCAAGACATGCATCGATATGCCCCAAAAAGGAACAAATGTAAGGGCTCTGTGGACTCAAATGAAAATAACACTGGATGGCAATGACCAAGGAACTGCAAAAAGATTTCTCAGCTAAAAATGTGATGACACCAAAAATTTTATCCTGTGTCAGAGGTCAGCAATCTGGTCCAAGGGACACGGTCACTCCTCACATGTGGTCCTACGGCTGCTTTGTCCCACAATGGCAAGGGGAGCAGTTGGGACAGAGACTACCATAGTTATTTGCTGATCCTTCACAGAAAGTTTGCCATCCCCTGCCCTAAAGTCACATTCAACCATGTGGGAATTTTTACCAGAAATGTATGATTAAAAAATTATTAGGAAGAGTCTTTTCTGAGACGTCAATGCTGTGGATCATAACAACCCCTTCCCAGGTACCAGGCAGAAATGTATGGACCTTTTAAATTCTCTCTCCTTAAAAAACACTTAATTAGATAAATAAGAAGAGAAGTGCTAATATCTTTAAAGAGTGCCTACAATGGCCTAGGCTCTGTACATGATGCACATTTAATTATAACAGCCCTATGAGGTGCTTACTGTTACTATCATCCCAAATGACACAAGCTGACACCAAGGCTCAAAGATGCCATGTAACCAGCTCAAAAAGCACACTCACTAACAGCCAGTGGCTTCCTGCCCAGTCTGCCTCCTGCACAGCTTTCTTCATGCTGAGGGCTCCGTGGGAAGCGTAAGTTAACTGAATGCACGGCCTCCAAGCAGGGGCCCTGTGCAGGAGCTTGAGGAGAGCAGGTGCTGGGAGCCAGAATGCCTGGCTCTGGACTTGACACCACCTCTTATCACTGTGAGACTTAAGGTCTCTGTGACTTAGTTTCCTCACCTGTAGGCTGACAGTAATACTTCAACAGCATCACTATAAGGTGCTTGCGAGGACTGAGTGAGTTATCTATGTAAAGCACTTGAACTGTGCCTGTCGCACAGGTTCAGGGCCATTTAACCATGAGCTCACAGCAGGGGAGCGCAGAGCGAGGGCCGGGGAATGCAGGTGAGGAAAACCTAAGAAGCAGCCTCATTCCCGGCCAGAGCGAGGCTGCCTGTTGAGTAAGTGCCTTGGAGAATCCAAGCGCCACTGTATCAACTTGCTCAAACCATGAGAAAACACCTCCAAAGATGGACAGACAGAGCAGGGACGAGAAGAGAAGAGGGTGGCCCGGAGACAGCTGCCTTCAGTCTACAAATCCGCAATCTGAGGAGAACTGCTGGAAACATCGCTTCCCAAGAACAATGACCCCACGATGGCATCGCTGACAGAGGCCACGTGGTTTCGCCTGAACCATAAGTTGGGTGGCCCTTTCATCCAGTTCACTGGGAAGAAAGGCTGGCTCCATTAAAGCCGCTGGGCTTGCCCTCGACTGCACTGAGATGCGGTGACAGAATCTGCAGGAGACTTACTGTCCACTATACCAGGCAGGAGACCGACACCTCAAGACAACTCTGAATTTCCAAGAGCTAAAATCATGCAGAAGAAAATCAAAATCCTGAATTTGTCATACGTGGCTGATGAACATGTGACTCAGGAGAGCACCGAGAGCGCTAACTGCGAACTCCGGAGAGTCTTCCCACGAGCATCTCCTCTCCCTGTGCTGGTTCTCAGCACCTCTGTGCACTCCCGGGAGCCAAGCCTCCCTCCCAAACCCCGTGTGGTTCCAGCGAGGTGCCCGTCTCCGCCCGCTCTGGAGGAGGGCAGGTGAGGCAGTCCTGGTCCAGCACGGTAACCGGCTCACAGCACAACACATGACTCAGCCTGAGCAACGACAGCCTGCACACGACTCTTTCTGGAACAGAGATGCACTCTGGGATTGATAAACCTGTGACCTGTAATGTGTCTTCAGTCCGTTCCACTGGGAAAGAGCCCAAGAATGAAGGAAGCACGAAAGAAAATAGAGCTAACAGACAAAGAACCAAGACTCGAACGACCTTGTCTGCACCTCTGGATGCAGCCACTGGAAGCCAGCTACATACCACCGGACCTCCTAGTTACAGAGGCCGATCACCATCCAGGATCCCCCCCACCTCTCTTTCCACGTAAGCCAATTTAAGTCGAGGTTCTACAGCTTGCAAACAAAAGTCTTCTGACAAGTGGAAGTCAGTAAGTAAGGACTAGGAGATGAGCTACAGTTGCAGGTTGGCAGCGGGCATCCCAATACTATGTGCCCAATACTATCCGAGCAGACGGGCTGAGAACATGTCACGTCATGACGCCATGTGTAAAACCACTGGATCTGACAGGTGGTTTCTCACACAAGAGCCAAACTCCAAATATCATTAAAAAGGGGCTTTTTAAAAAATTTTTTTATAGGAATCAAGTCTAGGTAGGCCTCAGTTCTAATGCTCTTTAGATTCTTTTTTAGTACTAGATGTGGTTTGAAATTGTGCTGTCTCCTTGTGGAGGTATCCTTTTGCATATATACATACATATGTGTGTATGTGTGTGTGTGCATGTGTGTGTCAGCTCACATAATAAATAACCTATTATTTGCAGGTTAGGGTGGAAATACTTTTGGTTATTAACAAAATTTTTTATATGGGTTGAACTGGAAACTACCCCTTCTCCTGTGACTCTAAAATTGATTCATATCACCAAAATATATTGACAGCAATTTTATAGGTCTAAAGACTTTATAAAAATAAATCCTATTTACAGATGTTTATCAGCCACTCTATAGATGAGTGTAATTAGCACCAAGCTGGAATTGAAAAGTGGTTTCTGCAAAGGTCTTTTTCTCTTAACACCTAAATAGGAATCAGCAAATGACCAGGAAATAACAATACAAAGATTCTATAATGAGTGATTTATAAGAGAACAAAGCCCAATAGCACTAACTTGAATCATAATTGCAAAGGGCTATTGCTTAATTTAAAATAAAGTATCACTGATCTCGACTTGATATTCAGAAACAACTGTAGGCATCTCTTCCTAAAAAATTGTGCATACTTCAATTTTTAATGAACACATAACGCTGTTAAAGTGAAATATTAAAGCTGGGGAGCTATGGAATAGACCCACAGATTTCCATTCATTAATCAAAACATGACATTCAGCCCGGCCGGGCGTGGCTCAGGGGTTGAGCATTGACCTAGGATCCGGGAAATCGAGGTTCGATTTCCGGTCAGGGCACATGCCCGGGTTGTGGGCTTGATCCCCAGTCGGGGGCATGCAGGAGGCAGCCGATCCATGACTCTCTTATCACTGATGTTTCTATCTCTCTCTCCCCCTCCCTTCCTCTCTGAAATCAATAAAGATATATTTAAAAACAAACAAACAAACAAAATGACATTCACCCAAACGCCTTGCAGGTAACCCTAGCTCTATCTCCAAGGGTAGCTTTAGTATAACATTTGACCCAAGTCCATCAAGACAGATAGAGAGACTGTGCTAGCAATATAAAGACCTTACAAGACCAGACCCCTGCCTCTGTTTCCTGGGGCATGAATGAGAGAGAAAAGCCGGAGGAGAAGCCCCTCCCACACTCCGTGGTAAGCCCCGTGCACCTAGGTACAGAGGAGCTGGACCTGTGCATATATCCGATTGCTGCATGGTACAGAAACACCTTAAACATAATGTACTGGTACTTTCATCTACATGTCAATGGCTCAATGATATTATCAATATATTTACGAGATGTCAACACTGTAGGGAAGGGAAGGGAAATGCTAAGACGCTTCAGGCGGCCGAGCCCATCACGCCCGGAGATGCCTGACCGCAGTTACGGACTCCATGAGGCACCCTGAGTTTTAGTCAGTTAAAGTTACTGCATTCTCCCCATCAGGACAAGGGCCTGAACAGGAGGCCACGGCAATACAGCAAGGTAAGAACCAAGCTGTCGGCATTTCCTCAGCATCCACTTTTCACGTTTAGAAAGTCATTTGCGTGAAAACAAAGAAGAGGCCCAATCAGCAAGCTGCTACTGGCCAGTCACTGACGCCAATTTGATAAAAGCGGTTAGTGAGTATGCCGCTGATTTGTTATGTAGGGACATGAATAACAGTGAAAACTAAGTTACCGCAAGTTTAACACTGGGAGACTCTCTTTAACCGCTGTGGTTCTAAGAAAGCGGGTACACACAGGCTCACGAGTGCCTGCCACTGCCCTGCTCTCAGGGGCAGCCCCCAGACGGCGAGCCAGGCCTGGAGGGGCAGAGCCGCCCTCCCAGCAGCGGGGCGAAACCCTCCAGCAGAAGGCATCTCGTGAGGAAAAGCATGGGCAGGGGAGGGGGTGGCTACGAAAAAGGAGCAACGTAAAACCGTTCTTACTTTAGAAACGACGGGAAATCTTCGCACACTGCCTCACAGCCGGGCCACTTGCACACACCGTGCCCGTAGAGCGGGTGGCTTTGGGGGTGTTCCTCGTGCGGCAAACTGGAAGAAAACACACGGAGGGTCAGAAAGGACCTGCTGCCAGGAACCATCCCCCACACACGAGGAAAGAGGAGCCCAGCAAGGCCCAAGGTGAACAGGACGACTGGGTTTCCTTTGCCCATGGATTTCACTAATTAATTCTGCATTATTGTTTAAAAGCGAGAGTTAAATCCCCACATGTGAACAGTGCAATGTCAGAAATGTACCGCCCTGTATAAAAAGTGTGTGACAGGCTTTGGTTAGAGGCAAAGCTCTCTACTCAGACTGCCAAGGATTCTTTAAGAAGCTAGAACTTATCTTTTAATCTGCATAATGAAATTGTAAAATCTGTACTTAATTTTTATTCTGTTTTCTACCCGGAAGATTATACACTTTTCTCTTCCCTTCTGCCATAAACTACTTCAGCATAATTCACACAATCTTTTCATAAGTAAATTTTGTCACGCAAACAATAGTGCAATTAAATAATTGAGAATGATAAAATAATTTAGAAAGACAAACATATCCAAGTAGATGATTAGCTTAAAAGAAAAAAAAGCAAACTGTAGCAAGATCATATCCCTAAAATTACTGACACCAAGTGTGAGAAAAAACTTGGCGAGAACAAGAGGGGGTTAAGCCTGCAGCGGGGCTCCAGTCAGGCCCTGATGATCTGGCCACATGGATCCACGCCGTGGGCTGCTGGGATCCAGGCCACAAGGCGCTTGGGGAAGCGTGTCTGTGCACTTGCTGATGAGCCTTAGTCTCAAAGATTTTCTCTATTAGGCTCCTGTATCCAGACTTCTTTCAGATAAATTATTTTTACAGTTGTTTCCATAACCTTAGGTTCCATCAAATAGAAATATAAAACTAACACCAAAAGTTCTGTTTTGCACAGAGTGCATTCTCTTCAAGGAAAGGGCTATTTTGCAACTTATTCCACTGCCTCTCCCTGACTTTGAACTTCAAGCAGGGTGAATTATCTCTCTCTCTCTCTCTCTCTCTCTCTCTCACACACACACACACACACACACACACACTCTGCACACACAGGAGCCTTGTATGTTATTTTACTATTTTTGTTTTCTATAGAGAGGGGAAGGAAGACAGAAACATCGATGTGAGAGAGAACATCAACGGGCTGCCTTCCTTATGTGCCCCAGCCAGGGATCCAACCTGCAGCCCTCTGGTATGCAGAACCACGATCCAACCCACTGAGCCACACTGGCCAAGACACGGGTCTTGTATTTGACACTACCACTAAGATGTATATTCATACATTGTGTTCATTCACATTCATACAGCAGACATACACAAATGTGACTCGTCCCTGACGTATAATTACTCCGCAGCGATCATTAAAAATAAACACACTTATGCAGCTGTGAAAAAGGAGGACCCCTTCCCCTCTGGGACAGCATGGGGGGACCTGGAGAGTATTGTGCTAAGTGCAATAAGCCAGTCAGAGACAGAAAAGTACCACATGGGCTCACTCATATGTGGCATCTAAGGAACAAAATAAACTGATGAACAAAACAGATCCAGAGACATAGCAGCATGGAGCAGACTGAGGGATCAGGGGTAGGGTCGGTGGGTTAACTAAAGAACTTATATGCATAACTCATGAACACAGACAATAGTGTGGGAAGGCCTGGGGAGGGGGCAGGATCCGGGTACAGGGGGTCAATGGGGGGAAAACAGGACACCTGTAATACTTTCAACTTATTAATAAAGATAAATTTTTTTAAGAAACCATGAATGTTTTTCTGCACTCAACACACACACACACAGAATGACACCTTCACAAAGACCAATAGGTCTCCCTATGGCTTTTGAATGATTCTGCTGAAAATCTAATATAATTTGAAAGTAATGATAAGTTACTTTTCCTTAAAATAGAAAATAAACCTGGGAACAAGAAGAGCAACAAAACAACTGTACAAAATTAACTTACAAACCACTGAGGGTGGCCTCCTGAGAGCAGCACAAGGAGACCAGGGCGGCCACAGTGGGGGGGTGCAGCCCACTGCGCCGAAGGGAAGGGTCACTATCATCCACGCTTATCTTCAGATTTTTTAATGAGTAAAATAGATACGACCATATGAGATGATGGAGTTTAATTAAACTTATTATGATAATCATTTTATGACATATGTAAGCAAATTTTTATGCTATACAATTCTGTTGTATATAAATTATAATTCGATAAAACAGAAAAAATAAATATGATACAAAACAGAATATTTAAAAATTATTGACAACCTTCTAACTCCTAGAATTCTCAGATATTCTGATATAAGGAAATCATTTATAAAATAATATTGCCACCCAGCCGGATGTGGCTCAGTGGCTGAGCGTCGACCTAGGATCCAGGAGATCGGGGTTCGATTCCGGGTCAGGGCACAGGCCCGGGTTGCGGGCTCGATCCCCAGTCGGGGGCATGCAGGAGGCAGCCGATCAGTGACTCTCTCATCATTGATGTTTCTATCTCTCTCTCTCCCTCTCCTTTCCTCTCTCTGAAGTCAATAGAGATATATTTTAAAAAATAAAAATAAAAACATAAAAAATAATATTACCAATAGCTTGAAAGAAAAACCCTAACCATAATTATTTTCTTTACCAATTTTATTAAGATTAAAGTATTTTCATAATATTAATAGTTTATATATATTTATTGTAGAAAACTTGGAAAACGTTGAAAATAAAAAAATATATACTCATACACATACGTATTTTTGACAAAGCATGAAAATTTATGTCATTCTTTTGTATTCAATATAAGTTTGTAAATAATTTCTCATGTTATCAACCAGGCTTCAAGGACCTTCTTTACTGATCCGTAACAGTCCATTACACAGTATCTTACCTCTAGTTACATGCCAAAGTTTATCTAACCACTCATCTGCTTTGGGCACTGAGGCTCCTTTCATGTTTCCTTAATTTATGAATAATGTTAGAAACGAAATTCACCAGGCTAAACATCCCAGTATATCACTGATTTTTACCAGACGATTCATTCAGAGAAAAGGAATCACTCAGTTAACAAGTACTAAGTTTTGAAATTTACTATAAATATTCTGTCAAGTTGCTCCTGAGAAACACGACAAGCCAGTGCATTCTTAGCCATTACACATATTTTTGTGCGATTCTTTAAGTTGGAAACCTGGAACCTCAACTAGTAAGGATATAAAGTTAATATCAATACCGGTGAACCTCGGAGATAGTGTGGGCTCAGCTCCAGGTGACTGCACTGCAGCAAATATTGCAATAAAGCGAGTCACACAATTATTCCCAGTGTACATACAAAAGTTATGTTTACGCCGCTCTGTAGTCTATTAAGTAGGCACTAGCATTATGTCTAAAAACCAATGTACTTACAATATGCTAACCACTGTCTGAGCTTTCGAGGAGTCATAATCTCTTGCGGCAGGGTTGCCACAAACCTTCAAAAACCTTCAGTTTGTTAAAAACAACATAGTCTCTGAATACCTAGCACAATAAAACTAGGTATTCCTGTAGTTAAAAACTGCAAGTGGCTATTCTGCTACGCTTTTTCGGTTAAGCCGAGAGTGTCCTGAAGATGATAGTATGAAAGAAAATACTATGCAGACACTAGAGGAGTTTATGACTACAAACAAGATGTACATGATTTAATATGATGTTTGCAGCTCTCCCCCCATCTCCTGTTTTTTTTGGTAACATATCTGTGAGGGCTCCATGGCCTGAATAAAAACTACTCTGCTTTAAGGATTTATTTTTAGTTCAACTTGGTCAGTAAGGACAGATGACAACTGACCAAGGCCTCAGAAGGACAACCAGTGATGCCTCAAATCCAGAGAAAATCAACTCACACACAGACACTGTCACACCCTTGGAAGTCCCCTTGAAAATTTGCCTCTAAATTAAAACCATATTCTTATTATAAAAGGATTATCTGCTCTTATTTTTTTGAAGTTCACATAATACCGAGCAGGCCGCGGACCGCGACTGGGAGAGGCCGCTGCAGGCTCGCCCTGCATTTCCTTCTGCTGTATTACAAGTCTACAAAATGGAAACATACTCACACTGTTGTCTCTTGCTTTTCACTTTTAATATACAATTGGATACTTTTAAATATACAGTTGTCTGAAATAAAGTGCTTGGTTTTGAAAACAAAAAAACCGGGACAGAACGTCTAGAAAAACACGTGACGCTGTAACGACTGCCGCCTCTGGGGCCGCGACCCCGGGGCCGGGGGCGGCGGTGGGAAACTGAGTTTTTACACGATCACTTTCTGTTTCTTTTGGAGTTTTTATTTTGCTTGTTGTAGGAATTTTTTGCGTGCAACTGTAATTTTCCACATATATAAACACACATACACACCCACGGGAGAGATCAAGCGCCCTGCCGCCTCGGTTCTCAGGCACCTCTTGCCGTGCGGCCCCGCCCAGGGTCACCTCTGGCTCCCGCGTTCCGCACGAAGCACTGTCACCCCCACCGGCTTTCCCGCCTCATCGGAAGAGTGGGACTGACGCTCATAGTCGGGCTGCCTTGGAGGACTCGCCAAAAAGGACAAAGAGGGAAATTTAAAACTGAGGGAAGGAAGGAAGGTTTTGCCCTGAATTAATTAGGACTACACTCACAGGATGAAACAGGACGGGAAAACAGCGATGCGAGCATCTGAAGGTCAAGTGCAGCCTGTGGCCAGGTCACTTACAGAAACCGTTCCAGGGCGACCCCCCGTGAGCGGTACCCCTTCGGAAACGCTGCCCAGGCCAGTGACAAATAAAGACGCACTGGTTTTGAAGAAACCGAACGAAACCTGTTTGCCCCCAAATTAAACTTCTTAAAATTGAGTCAACTGCTTAATAAAGTGTTTCTTACTATAAACTCCCAGGCTGAAAATTCCTCAGGGCAGGGATCGGGTCTAATTCATCTCCACATACTCAGTACCTCCCCCAGAACACAGGCTCAATAAACGTTAGATGGATTCATGAAGAACAGACAATAAATAATTATATTATTCTATTTAATTTCTGTAC